AGCAACACTGCCCCTAAGGCATCCATCCAAACAGCACTGCTGTATTGGCCCACAACCTTGGGGACAATACTTTATCATTTATTTTTCTTTATTACAGTTTCTTAAAAGCATATTTTTATTATCTTCCTCAATAAAATGGAAGCATTGTGAATTTGGTAGCTTAATCTGATCTGCATATTCCTGAATCTTCAGAGCCCAAATCCACACCTGGTCCACTTATATTTTTCCACTTATTATTTCTTATAACTTGCTATAGTACTTTTAATTACTATGATTTCAAATCCATCACTCCAACTTTGCTTCTATATTTTAAAAAGATCTTTCACATCTTTATTCTGTTTTTCCCCCACTGTATATGGTTTTGACTCTTATTCATCAATCCAGCAAGAGTTCACTTTTTTAATTGTGTGAGGAAAAATAACTTCATATGTCCTGCCTCCTCCAGTTCCCTAGCATGAATTTATTAAATAATATGTACTTGTTTAAAATAGTACTGGTAACAAAGACTAAGTATATGCACATACAGAATACATCTCACAATTTCCTTCTATTGCATTTACATTTCAACACATTTTAATATGAACATTCTTGGCATATCCACAGAACTGGATCATCTTTCTCATACTGATATGGCCTTTGCTAACCATGGGGCAGTCATGCTTTATTATGAGACCTAAAATTAAGCCAGCATGTTTGGTCATGTCATGCTACTGTCTCAAACAATATTTTTGAAAGTAACTTACAGATTTTGTCTATTGTATCTAAAGTTAAAAATATATATGCATATTACGAAAAAAGGGCAGAGGAAGAGAAGACCAATCATACTCAGAAGGAAGTTCTGGTTCTCTGATTTGTCATAAGATAGGCTATAATATTCCGATAAGGTGTTTACACGTACTCTCGGCCCTGTGATTGGCCGCAATCACAGAACCATGTCAGAATTTTCACCTAACAGTTTTAAGGCCGGAAGCATAGTGCCCTTCCAGCCCATTCACACATGTGCTCATTCATCCTGAAAGCCATCTGTACCTCACAGCACAAGTCGAGACCAGGCCTTTGCCCTGAGGGTTGACTATCTAGCAACAAAACCCGTTTATTTAGTTTTCTAACCAAAATAATGCTTTCTCATTCAAGAGATGTACGTCTGCATCTGCTCTTTATTTGGCATGCCTCCCCCCTCTATTACTCACTTCACAGTTTTGGTTTAGCAAATGTATCGGGTGAAATGAGCAAAGTTATGTAGACTAAAATGGTAGGAAGTGCTAATTGTCATCAAGTAGCCAAGTGCTGAGTTTATAACAAAGTTAAAGGTGTAGTTTGATACTGTAGGCGTTTGGGGCTGGATCTTTCTAAGATTGCCATCATTGTTTCTGATAGACACACTTCTTCCATCTACACTGGATCCAGAGAATTTATGTCACTAGAATTCAGGTAAAATTGACTGAGAACAAGGTATGACTATGCCCCGTGTTATACTGTGCTTTAAACGTCATGTAAAATGTGCATAGCCATCAAGCAATTACTCCTTTTTAGACGAGATTGGGTGCATTCTGGGTGGTATGACCATAGACAATTACTCCCTTTTCATAAAAGGATTAGCAGTCAGGAGAAAGACCAGGTCCTAAGATCCATATTTTGTCTCAACTGACTCTGACTTTTTTAAAAATTATATGTCCAAAAATCAACGGCCTAAAACTGTGACATTCTCAAAGGCCCTCTTGGGCAGAGTGGCAAATACTACATACACCCGCTCTTCCTCGTTCTCTCTGAAATTCGCCCCCTTAAAAATCAAAGACAAACTAAATGCAAATTTTTATGGGCAAATGTCCTTAATAGATCTAAATCGTCAGACAATGGAGGAGGAAGGACACAAAGGAAAGAAATGGGAAGGAGGTGAAGGGAGATTCCTCAAAAGGGTCCACCGGAGACGGGAGACTGTTGCAGTGTAATCTTCGGTCCTTGCCCTCCGCCTTTGTGCGCTTTCCTCTTGCGTCCTAAAATACTCCTTTTCAGAGTGAGTCCTCTCTTTCTCCTCCATGTGTCATTCTTTGCTTCCATCCTTCTCTCTCTGCATCTCTTTGATGAGCTAAAACTTCCACTGGAGCATCTGGTGTGGATGCCAAGCAAACTTACACAGTTTCACTGATCTGGACCCTGCCCTGCACAGAATGGTCTTCCTTTCCCATCTTTCCCATCCTTCTGCGATGGTATTCAAGTAAAACATGCGGTGAAAATACTCAAGGAGCTCATTTATAATATCATGGGGGAATTCAAAGGTTATAGTCACTGCCTGTGTTTCATTACTTTGCAGTGGATCATTGTCTTAGATTGTTTTAGCTTGCATTTTAACACATAAGGTATGTGTAAAAGGGCAAAAGAAAACACAAAGGACAAAGTGTAGGACTGTGTAGAAATTATTTCAAATGAATAATTTTTACTCATACTGTTTCTAAAAAGCATAACTAGGAGAGCGTCGAGGATCAAGATGGTGGGGCAGGAAGGGTGAAAGTGCTATTTCGATGGACATCCACAGACTGAAAGTGGACATTCCAGGCTGCCAGGAGTGCACAGCATGTTTCTGTATTTAAAAAAAAAAAAAACACAGAAATAACCAAATCCCTACAGATACAATGTCCCCCCCTTTATTTGTCCAGGAATCTGTTTTGGAAGCCAATCCAATGATTACTACTAGGACATGGAATTTTGATATCCATTTGGTACTGATTTACACCAGTATTTTTAAGGCTGCCAACAAGAAAGTCCAGAATTTCAGGCAGCCAAAATTCCACAGGAGACAACTGTCTTTTATTTTATAGCTTATGAATTTGAAGCTTAATGTGATTTTCCACTAACAAGTTCTGTACCCCCTCCAGAGTGCTAAAGCTGGTGTAGAGATCAGCAGAGTAACACAGAACATATGAGGCAAGTTAATATTAAACTTGAAGGAAAACTGTACAAATTATATTGTTTACTTAGGAAAAAAGCACTCTAGTTGAAAGGGCTGACAAATGATTTATTACAAACACTTGACCAGCATGTTTGCATTTTTAGTCCCAACCCCAGTGTGGTAGTTTGGTGATGTTGTGGTGGTAGATCCGGTATTCCTAAAGCCATCAATTAAAAGACCACTAAATATTGGTAAGGAGTTCTAAGTACGTTCTTCATGTCTTCTCTTTTTATGAAATGGCTAACAAAAATACAGAGTTACCTTTAGTCATCAATCACCAGCAAGTGATTTAGGAAAGCGATACATAGATAACTTTTTAAAATATAAGTAAATGAAGAACCCGTTTAATTAGAAACGCAATTATAAGCAGTTTCCAGAAATATTTCTTCTGCAAAATAAGACTTTCACATGAAAGTAGAAAAAATAGTATAGAATTTCTTCCTCTGCCCGAAGCAATTTTTCAAAAACAGTCAAAGAGATAATAAATATTGGAACAAGGAAGTAACTAGGTGTCTTTTTTTTTTTTTTTTATAGAAGTCATGAAATATTCTTCCTTAAATGTCACGAAGGGGAATCATGGATCAGTCCTGTAATTTTTAAATGTTCTACATCTAAATGATGTTTCGTACATTCTAGGCTTGTCCCCAAACCTTCATGTTTAATACATTTATTAATACGGTTTTATAAACAATCCTTAGTTTGAGTCAAGGAGGATATACAGCAATGGATTATATCGGCACAGGAAGCCACAGAATTATTTATCTACTAAACTAGATACCAAACACCGCACCTGCAGTGTTTTTCAGGAATGGGAAATTATCTCACAGAATTTCACAGATGAGGCATGTGGGGGAAAAATAATAATAATAAAAAAAAACCAACTAAAACACCGAGGCAATAGTCCTATAGTAGAAGCTCAGCCTCGCTGGTAACAAAATCGTACCAGATGCCCTTGGGATTTCACATCCAAATTCCTAAGCCACTGCTCTGAAGCTGGGCCACAGCACTGCGGCCTGGAAGATTGCTGGAGCGTCCTCACGCGGACCTGCTCCACTCTCTGGAAAAGGAACAGCATCTCCCACGCTCTGTCGGGACCCTCAGAGGGCAGAGCACTGCCTGTGAGCTCCGCACCACCCCTCTGGGTCTCCGAACCAGCAACTGTGCAAAACAGCTGTTTCCACCACGCTGCTGAACTGCTCATCCCATGGCAGTGAGAGCCAAGCGTGGGTGTGAGCAAATGGAACAAGAACTGCTATTCTTAAGATTTATAGGAGGAACATTTATATAAAAAGTCTTCATTTAAAAATATATTGTTAAGTTGTTCAGTGAAATTTATCATTAGCTAAATAAAATATTTTATCTGTACAAACCTTTACATGGACATGGAATGGATAAATTATTCCGTATACAAATGTACTATGCCCAGAAGAAAATAAATTCAGAAAGTTCTATAACTTAACCTCTGAAGGTTCATGACTATACCTGTTGCCTGTTAGAAGACAGAGCATTGAAAAACACCATTCTATTTGTAGAAAAAGGGCAAATGCTGTAGCACAGGTGGTAGCAAAGCACAAGGTATCAGTGCTATTGGTGCTCCCGTTCCCCTATCAAGAACATGCGTTTCTGGTTCATTCAGTCAGGAACAACTATCTTGTTTGTTTCACAGAGTAATGACAAATTTTACTCTTATTTTCTCCTTAAATTTCCAAAAGACACCGCTTTGAAATTCAAATTATCCCTAAATTCCACAGACAGCATGCAGAGAAAGTGGAGAAATGCACCTCTAAATGTCTGAACCATAGACTGTTACTTTTTCTCTTTTTTTGGAGGCAGGGTCTCACTGTGTAGTTAGACTGGCCCTGAGTTCACCATGTAGCCCAGGCTGGTCCTGAGCTTGTGGCAATCCTCCTGCCTCAGCCTCCCAAGTACTGGGATTCCAGGCATGCACCACCACCCTCAGCCTGTTGCTTTGCCTTTTTTTTTTTTTTTGTCTTTTCTTCTGGTACCAGGAATCGAACTCATGACCTTGTGCTTGCCAGGCAGGCACTTTACTGCTGAGCTAAATCCCCAGCCCCTGTTGCTTTGTCTTAAAACAAAGATGTATCTGTCCTTTCCTTCCTGTTACTTTCTGTCCTAAACTCATTCTCCATTTGGCCACCATTTTTGTTTGTTTGTTTAGATACAGTGGTGTAACTGGCAGTAAAATGACCAGAGTGCACTCTGCTTTATTTCCATTTCTTCCATATAAACATTTTGGCATCAATTAAGTTCATGGGGTCCTTTGGAAATCTAATCACACAGAAAACCAGACAGAATATACATTAATTGATATGTACAGTGTGAGTCTTGAGGGCAAAACACAAAGGTTAAAACAAGACATAACTGCTCGTTAAGGCTGGAAGACATTTGAGGAACTCCAATGGGAGGTTTGCAAAACCCTGGCTTTTCAGTAAGAGTGAACCCGGGGTGGAGGAGCTTGTTTGAGGATGTTTTGTTCAGCCTGTGGTGACAGAGGGCGACAAGGTAGCTGGCACCACGATCACTTCATATTTCAACCTCGGCTTCCCCTTTCAGGTCACAGTGTGTGTCCCGTAGGCGCGGCCCTGACAGTGCTCCGTGTGACACCAGTGGAGCCCTGGCTGGAGTCCGCAGCGTCGGCAGGGAGAGGGCTGGGGGAAAGCCGGGCGCGCTGGCTTCCGCCAGGGCACCTCGGTGGTGGAGAAGAGGGCCTCGCGGGTATTTCTGAAGTACCTGCCGCGGGGCTGGGGCCGGCATTCGTGGGGGAACTGCTTTAATCCCAGGCTGGGCTATTGCTGTGATCAAAGGTGGTGGAAAAACCGAAGACTTCCTCTCTTTGGGAATGCCAGGCTGAGGTTTTGCAGCGTCAAACTCATCCTTTAGTTTGGCAATATCATTAAATACCGAGGCAAGAGGCTGGAACCTGGGTTCCCAGCTCAGGAGGCAACCCCAGGCAGAGCTGCCTCTCGCATCGCGACCGGAGGTTAACTGGGTTGGGAAGGCGGCAGAGCTTGCTTCCTGGCCTCCTGAAAGGAAGAGCTGCTGTTTCTCGGTGTCAGCCAGGGTTCCCTCTTTCATCTCTTTCCTCTGCAGGGCCTGGGGCGGTGTATCCTTCTGAACACAGATTGCGTGACGACCTTCCTCCCCATCTCCTCCTTCTGCCACGTGGCTACCTTCTGCTGCTTCTGCGCCGGCCATCACGTCGCTTTCTGCAGACAGGCAGGACAGCTGATCCGAGTCCCTCGGGACACCGGAGTCTGGCACCCGGGAGCCCCGGTCGCTCAGAGCCGAGTCCAAGTCCTTTCTATAAGGGTGCTCGTTTATCCTCTGGATCTCCCTGTCTTCTGCAGTCTCCCCGTCCACAGAGCAGCGGCCACCGGAGTTGGAGCGCAGGTGCTGGCCGACCCGATCCTTCTCCATGGTGCTTACTAAGCTCAACCACCCCGGCTCGGTCTGCGCTGCAGCAATGTCGCTGGGGTCCTTTCCTTGCAGGGCCTTGTGCATGCTGCAGTCCCCGGTCAGTTTCAGATGGATATCTAGGGAGGAGGATGCTCGCTTCTTTTCATAACTGTGTGGCGTGGCTTTCGGTTTACGCTTTACAATCAGTACAGTCAGGATGCAGATGAACAGCAGAAACACCGCGAAGCAGGCGGTGAGGCTGATGGAGAAGCTGGTGGACTGCACTGCTCGTTTTCCTTCCGAGGACAGGGACACGTTCACAAACACCGCACACGAAGCGGATCTGGAGCCCGGCTTGGGGCTGCGAGCAATGATTTTCATTTCAAAGGTGCTGTCTTCGCCCACCTGACCTTTTATCAAGGGAGAGGCTCTGATCCAGTAAATATTTCCATTGGTTCTGTTCACTGAAAAGAAAGGAGAAGCAGATGCCAGGGAGTAAAAGATGACCCCGTCAACACCAGCGTCTGCATCCGAGGCCTCCACTCGGCCAACCAGCTGTCGTTCTTGAGTCTTTTCTGGGACGTTGAAAAAATATTTATCTTGAGTGAAAATGGGCTTGAATTCATCTATCCCTTCAACGTCCACCCAAACCGTTAAGGAGGCTGTTGAGCCACCCTTGTCTCTGGCCTGCACGCGGAGGCAGAACTTGTGGACACTTTCGTAGTCAAGGATTTGCTTAGCACGAATGTCCCCTGTTAAAGGGTCAATGTTGAAGAGATCCTGATGGGGAGCCTCCCCCTCAGGGACAAAGCACGCGGATAAAATAGCGTAGGTCAGTTCTCCATAAGGACCTGCATCAAAATCCACAGCGTGTACAGAACAGATGCTGGAGAACGCGGGTCGATTTTCAGGCACCGCACAAGTCAAGCTCGAGGACAGAAACTGGGGCTTGTGGTCATTGTCATCTAAGACGCTGACGAACACAACCGCAAAAGAAAAATGTTTCTTATCTTTGTCCGAAGCTTGGATGGTTAAAGTGAATTTTGTCATTTCTTCGTAATCCAGGGGTTTCACCAAATAAAGGTCTCCGGTTTTTTCATCTAAGTAAAAATGTTCCCTCTCGTCTCCAGAGGTAACTCGGTAGGAGATTTCCGCGTGTGGGCCCACGTCACAGTCGCTCGCTGAGACCACAGTGATGTGGCTGCCTGGAGGGGTACCTTCCTTGACGTGGGCATGGTACTCCAGGCTGTGGAATCTGGGCGGGTTGTCATCGACATCAAGCACTTGTATAGCTATGACGGCTGTGGAGCTCAGAGGCGGGCAGCCATGGTCAGATGCCACGACGACAAGCTTATGGCTGGCACTTGCTTCTCTGTCCAGACTGCGAAGTAACACAAGATAACCAACTTGCCCGTAAGGAGAGTCTGGGTGAATGGAACTGGTTTCCACATGGAAGTTGTTCTGAGAATTACCACTGATGATGGAATATTCAACGTGTGTGTTTTCAGGGGTCCAGTCACGGTCAGAGGTTGAAAGTGTGAGGAGAGTGCTTCCCACCAGAGCGTCTTCACTCAAGGTAAGATTATAGTACCCTACTGTAAACTCAGGGGCATAATCGTTCACATCTTGGACTTGTATCTCCACTAATGTAACAGCCCTCAGCTCAGGAATTCCACCATCACTGGCTTCAACAAGAAATCGAACGGTTGGTATTTTATCCAGAAGTAGTACAGAACTGGTAGTAAATATGGTGCCTGAAAAAGAGGACACAGCTTGTCACTGCTGTGAAATGAGAACGTTTATGATCTATTCAGCCAGCAAATGCTTATCAAACATCTAAATCCATTTAATTCCTTGTTAGGTATGTTAAGTTATGACCAACAATAAACCTAAATAGAAATTTTAAATTATTACATTTAAAACATTTAAGGTTAAGAGATAAGACTGATGACATTTATTCTCTGCAATATGTGTGCTGTCTGTAGTTACCTGTGCCACAAAATATTTTTCTGAATTCAATTTTTTGCATAGTAAGTTGTGCTGTTACAATTTTTTAAAAAAGGAATTTTATTCTTGTTTGAAAAATATCCTATTCAGCTATGCATAAATGCATGTATGGAGATATTCTGGCATAAAGATATTTATTCCATAAATATTGGTTTATAATCACTCTAGTCAACAAAAGGAATAAAAATTATAATGTAGAGTTATAAGTCTTTCCTAATAATGGAGATATCTTTCCTAAAGTTTGTGGTTACTTCAACAAGTGAATGAGAAAATATAGTTAATACATTCCATTGCATTAAACGGATCAATAATTATTATAAATATGCACATAGCAACATTGTACTAAGACAAATGTGTTTTAAATAGGTCACTGAGAAGGAATACTCGGTACTGTGTAGAAATTCAAATGTCACATTTCAACTACAGTCAAAGCATGTATGAAATTAACATGGTAACACTGAATGTTTTAAAAAGTCCAGATCCTCATCTTGTGGGTGTTGCGTATCCACCAAAAGTGTTGCTGAGAGTTGCATTTTTGGAGGATAGCTTGCACACTGATTGGCTGTAGCCAGGGCAGCAGCTGTGACTCTGGCAATATCTGAGGGGAGGAGTGGAAGCAGAAGACAAGGAAGAAGAGCGGGAAGGAAATGGGCAAGAGAGAGGCCAAATTCCCAACATGCTGACTGTCATGCATCAGTCGTTCATCCACAGGCTCTGTAGTAATGTTTCAAATTTCCTAGTTCTCTTAGAACATCCTGCAGGCCTCACTGTGATATTTTCAGACTAAATTATTTTTTCACATAATCCCTGCTGTGATGATTAACCTTGATTTTCAACTCAGTTGAAGAGACACTAGGAGAGTGCACTTCTGGGTGCGTCTGGGTGAGATATGGAGGTGCTCTATCCGGGGGCTCTATCTGGTCACCCTGGCCTCTTCCTATCTGGTCTGCTCTCCTGTGCTTGCTTCTTGACCACCATGAGCAAAGCAGTTCTGCTCTTCCATGCCCTTTGCCATGGTGCTTCTGCCTGGGAGTCAGCAGGTGATGTATTACAACCTCTGAAACCAGGAGCCCTAACTCACAGGTGTCTGGCATTTTGTTCCAGTAACAGAAACCTGACTGATACGCGTATGCTGACTTTCACATGAGCTCTCTCTTGTTGGAATGCAACAATGGTGGGTAGAGATGGGGCCACACAGTGTGATGCATCCCAGGTCCTGTTCTTTGTTACAGTGTGTGCTGCAAGGACACTGCCTTGCTGATTGTTCAGTTTTATCAGCATTAGCTGCTTCTCTACTTTTTTATTTTTAAAATTTTCATCAGTACATGTTTGCATACATAGCAAATTCATCATGGGGGCTTGGTATATGTACAAAGCACTTCTTCATTATTCCTACTTCTCTGTCCTCTCCCCACACCCTTGATCACCTTCCCATTTGCAGAAACATTAGCTTTAAATGTCCACTCAGCATTAAACTTTCTCTGTACTCTGTTTAATTATTCTAACGTGGAATCACATGCCTGAATATATTTCACAAACACAAATGTCTTGTTCCCTGATAAAAATACAAAGAGCTTTGGAAGACATCAAATAAAACAGAACATAATGTTTTATGTTCAGTAGAAATGGATGCTTGCATCATTTTCCTTTCTAAATTACTCTTGTCTTTATTGAATATATGGTGCTATCACTGAATAGTTTCGTATTTGTACTTATTTTAAAAAGCTTCCCAACACTGGTGAGGTGTGGTCTTCAGCCCAGATTAGTCCATTGACATCATTCTGACTCTTGTTGGTTCCTTGGAAAGTTGCCCAAGCTGTGCTTAGCTGGGCACATGAACTCCCTATGTTGGGTATGCAAATTTCCAAATATTTACTCACAGTACCTTTTGCTTTCTAGCCACTGAGATGCTAGAACAGGGAAATAAACCTGGCTCTGTTACTGCAGTGTTGGACGTGAAGATAAATGAGAAGGTGATGCTCCTAACTCCAAGGGGTAGAGCTGGGGGACTATTTTCAGAGAGTTTGGAAAGTATTAGTTCATGTTTTCACCCTGTATCTCAAACCTGTGAGCACAAAAACCGCTATAACTAACTCACCGTTCATGGGATCAATGGAGAATTCCTTTGAGGAGGAAAGTATTCTGTAAGAAATGTTCTCATTGCTTTCTAAGTCCGTGGCTGACACAGTTAACACTGAGTACCCCAGGGGTACTGATTCAGGAATGGGGACCTGGGAGAAAAGGGAAAAAAGGACACCATGCTTACAGGCTAAAGATAGTGTCACAGACAGGCCCAAAATGTGAGGTCACTTTATTGATACTGACTATGAACATCACACAATTCAACCTTTCTTAGACACATTAGTTAATGCACTTGCCCACATTATGCTAGGGCTGGGGGTGCAGATGGGTAGTAAAGTGCTTGCCTACCACGTGCGAGGCTGCGGGCTGGGTCTCCAGCTCCTCAGAAAACTTATTTCATGGTTCTTTGATTCAGAAACAAAACAAAATAAAAATGTCTAAAGTTTCACTCCATTTGTTTTTATTAGGGAAAAATTTCCTTTTAAATTATTTCTGCATACCCAAAGACAGGCAGCTTGTCACTTGTACATTGTTGTACATTATACATTTTATAATTCAAGCAAGCCTTCACAGGCTGCATTTAGGAGAGTTTCCCTCCTGTGCTGACCTTTCAGTCTTGCGTTTGCTACATTCCAGAGTGCTAGCGTTCGTTTCCAACTCCTTAGCTGAATATTGTCATTGTCCTTACTTTCATAAACATATAAATGTGCCCTGAGAATTAAAATTTTACAGAATTTACTTTACAGATTTGCTCATGATTTGTTTCTGTAAGATGTCAATCATTGTATTACAAAAATACACCTAGGAAGGAAAGAATTTTTCCAAATTAACTGTAGATAATCCAAACTCCCTTCTTTTCCCTCTGGCCTCGCAAATACTAGGCAAGTTCCAGTTGTAATAAATGACGGGATTCCAACTCCATGACATGTTTAAAATGGCAACCAACATACTTGATAAACTGAACTGAGTGAGACTTCAGTTCCCTATGTACTTATGGGATCCACAATATTCAGTATAAAACCTGCACCCTTCACTCAGGCACTAAAAACGGTGAACACTTCCTGGCCAAATTAGATGGTCAGGGATTGAAGGCTTTTGTTCCTCTCTGTTCTTTCTAGCTTGGGCCGTGGCTTCAGCATCTGCTTCAGCTCTTTACCTGATAGAAATCTTGAGAAAACACTGGCGGATTATCATTGACATCCAACACTTGGATGATGAGGGATCCTTCTGTGTGGTGCACTGAATCAGAAATCCGTATGAGCAGCTCATGTTTGGTCGCTTCTTCAAAATCTAATGTTTTTGCCAAGATCACTATTCCAGTATTCCGATCAATCGCAAACTTGGTTCCAGGATTGCCCTCTTTTGCAAAACTGAAGATAAAAGCTGGATTCAAGTCCACATCATGAACTGATACCCGAGACACGATCGCACCAGGCAAAGAATCTGAAACAATCATGACCAATGTCAGCTTCCATTAAAATCCACCCTTTGAAAGACATTTCTTTAATAGTTTGCTCCAAGTATTTTCCTTTTAAGTCCAACATACTTTGCCCAGTCTTGGCATGATTTCTCATACAAAGCTCATTATGAACTAAACAAAAATTCTGAAGAATTTATGGACGCAATAAAAGTAAAAAATTTACCATGGAGTAGGGAATTAAGGAAATTTAGGGTAAATTCGATTTTTGTATTACTTTTTTTTTTCATCAGATGCTTACAACACAATTCCAGGATCAAGAAACAGTCTGCAGCACTTTCCTGTACTGTGTAACTTCTGCATCAAAATCACATACAGTATTCATAAGGGAAGCAGGAGGGAAGAAGGATATTACTTGAAACATTTCCACAAAACATAAAATTTTGAAAAGCAGGCTATATTTGAATAAAAATATTTGGATATGGGTGTTAACACTAGCTACTTATTCCTTTGCATTTATTTTTTGTAAAATTATCTCTTTTAGGAGTGGCCCATGGTGCGCTGCCTTCTCTGCAATCTGATTCTCAGAATTAACCAGGACTTTGGAAAGACAAAGCACCCACAGAGCTAGTGGTGGAAGCAAATCTCTACTATTATCCAGCAAAAAAGTCACACGGCAGAGGACATGCTCAGTGTCTCACATACCACGCAATTTCTCCAGCCTCAGCTGCCTGTGAAAGGGACTCTGTTTGTGAGCAGACAGGTATGGTGCAGGTGGAAAGAACATGCCAAAGGGCTCAGAATAGTTCCACTGTGTGTAAGACTCATAATTTTCACTTCTCAAGCTGGAGCATTTTTGATGTGCATCAACCACACTCGAGCCCACTCAGTATGTCCTGATTTATAAGTTTGTTCTCCTGCTGTATGTACACTAGACACACTGCTGTGTTTTCACACCAATGCATGTGCTCAAGAACACTACTTTCTTTACCAAAAAGGGAAAGTATAGCAATTGAGTGAGAGGCAAAACTGGAAAATTGTTTTTATTTGTGGAATGTAGTTTAGAAACCCTAGGCAAGTGAAATTCTGCAATATACCATTTTGTGAGAGGTGGGGTTATAATTTGTTTGGAAAATGAATCTAATAAAATATTAGGAAGATTTGAGGAATGAGTTTGGTATCAGAAGTGAAAGTGGGGAGCTCAGTGAGGGCCAGCTGCTGCTTTTAACTTCACCCAAGAAGTGTGGGCCGGGGTCTCACCACTGTAGCAATGACCAGGAACAATTCTGGGCTCAGAAATGATGGAAGAATTGTATAATCCTCAGATCCAAATAACTAAGACAAATCAGTCTATCATGTAAAACCTTTATATTTCAGCCCCTATCAAGAGTGTGGGGCAGATGCTGAAGTTCAGGTTACTCTAGAGGAATATGATGACTTTGTGTAGCCAACACCCACTTTGCTTCGTGTATTGGCTTTAGTATTATGCAAAGACTGACAAAGCTGTGAATCTACAAACATCGCTTCTTCTCACAGGAGACCTGCAGGGTTACGACAGTCAGCAAAGTGCATTTCTGCAGGGCAGACTTAGTTCTTAAGAACTAAGGAGCAGCGCCTATCAGGAGGTGGAGGCCAGCTTCTCCTGGTCTGAATGCAAAGCCTAACTTCACATTTGACTTCTTTGACTTTTGATATTTCACTACGAACATCCATGAAAAAAAAATATGTAGCTTGTAGGTCTCTTGAGTACAAGTACTCATATTTGATTCAATGTCTGACTGAAAAGAATTACAAAGGATAAATACTATATATATTAACCAAAACTATTATTCCCAATGGTAACACTTACTTTCTGCAATTTCTGCTGCTTCAGAGGGGAGAAAAACTGGAGCATTGTCATTTATGTCGGCCACCTGTATGTGGATCGTAGCTGTAGCAGAAAGCCTGGGTATCCCTTTATCTGCGGCTTGCACGATCAGGCTAGTTTGGAAAAGAATCAAAGAATGTTACACACCATCCAAGAATTAGAAAAAGAGCATAAATATCAAATATTTACTTGAAGCTTTTAAAATGAGCTGACTACTTTTATTTCTTCCCTAGCTTTCTCTAAATGGCATCATCTAAAGTTTATTTCCCAAGAATGGTAGCCTGAAATTTATTTATTTTTGACATGTTTAAAGAACCAAATCCAGAAAATTGCTAGAGGTCATGAAACATTACTGTCAGAACAAACTGGTCACTTCAGAGAGACGGACTGTAAAAATTTGATCTCAATCTTGTTTTATTAAGAAAAATCTAAGAGCAAACAAATACCAATACCTATAGTTTAGAGGCCCCCACCCTGCCATGCGTCATATGGATGTTGCTATGTATTTCCATCTTACTATGTCAACGAAAGCTGCAACTGTCAGGAGATTGTTTTGCACTGATATTTTCCAGATCCAAATTTCAAATCAATCAAAATTATAGAATTAAGAGAGGACACTGCTATGGTTAAAATTCATACGACAGATGTACGATTGGCTAGGACTGTAAAGTAGAGGGAAAAGGCCACTGTCTTAAAGAATTTATATGCAGTGAATCTCTTGGATGGTTCTACAGTTAGTATCTCCATCAACCAAGCTACAAATCTTATTACCATCTTCAAATTCTCCTTTTTTCTGGACACCTTTACAAAGTCTAGTAAATTATAAGTTATGTATAATCCCCCCTGAATGTCACCAGGGTTTGTGTTCTGTTCATTTCACCTTTATCTTCAGAACTGTGGGTAGGGTGAGCCACCACCCTGCTTTGCCCAGGGCTGAAGGGTTCCCTGGTACATGGACTTGCGGTCCAGGCAAATTTCCAGCACTGAATCCAGGAAAGTCCTGGACATGCTGGACAGTCCAGTCCCCGTGGCTTGAGCCTGTGCTCACTCTCAGCTGGAACACCGTGTACATCCTGCATCCCCTCCCATGGGGAGAGCTTGTGAACTCACCACCTCTGTACTCCAGGTCTCATCTGTTCCCTTCCATCTCCCACATTGCAGTTGCTCTAAAATTTTAATTAAAAAATCTGGCCCCATTTAAAAAGCCTTTCCTGGGCTCTACACATCCAGCCCTGAGCATGGACCCATGAGCTTCCCTATCCTGGGTCCTCCCTGGCATCTCTGCCTCTGTACTCCCGGTCTTTCAAAACTCACATCTGTGCTAAGATTTCCCTGCCCTCTCGCCTGACTTGGCTACCCTTTTACCCACTTCCATAGCATCTTTTACTTTTCTGCTGTAGCAGTCATCACTTTTTCATCCTAATCTGTCTCCTTCTTCTCTATGTTCCTTGAGCGCAGTCTGCTGTCGTGTTTTATTTTTGTTAATACCTGTTTTTTTGTTGATTTGTCATGATTCACCTACTATACATGTGGTATAAGGCAGAGCTGAATTCAAAGTTAGGGCACAGTTGTGTAGAAAGCTTTGCTTCACTACGTGATAATCCTTGCTGTGAATATACAGCAACCTAATATGTAGTCCTTAGCTTGCTATTCACTAGCCTCTAGGCACTAGGAAGGTCAAGCGGGAAGCAGCTGAGTAATAAAAGGAGCTGTAAATCAGATGGCAATCCTTATTTTCATGATGGTATTCATCTTAGCCAGCTGTGGAGACTACGTTTCAAGAAATTGAGTCTTGAAAGTGGACTTATTTCTTTCTTTTCCATTGTTAGCCTCTTGTGAGCATCATTTCTTTTCTCAACCTTAAATTTTAAAATGATGTAAAATAAACATCAGCTCTATTTACTTTTTCCTCTATTGTGCAATTGAGAATTGAACTTAGGGTCTTCCTGCTGAGCGACATCCCCAGCCATTTTGCTATTTTTTATTTTGAGACAGGGTCTCACTATCTTCCCGGGCTGGGTTGGAACTTGCTAAACTGCTGCCTGTGCCTCCCACAGTGCTGGGATCACACACGTGAGCCAGCTTACACAGCCAGCATCCGCTCTTCTGAGGTCAGACTCCAGTTAGCAGCACATGATCACTGTCGCTCCACCATTCCTGAAGCCTACAGGCTGCTGCCTTCTGTACCATCAGAACAGCCACTTGAAAGTCATAGTTAAGGAGCTTAGGAACAGTTTCATGTGGAAGGATTAGTTTTTAAGCATGGCCATCCATCAGGTACACATGGAAATGCTTTGCTAACAATAATCAACTCATAGTGCTTTCTCACCCTGCCGGCTACCCCTCCCTAGTGTTATCTAAAGTGTCAGCCTATGATCAGGGTTTCTATGCAAGGCCTGTGTTAGTTTAAAACAACAGTAAGTTTCTTTGATATAGAGGGAAATGTATTATTCAGTTTTGAAATAAAAGGGCACAATAAACGGTTGTCAATAGCTTGAAAAACAAAATCACTAAAGTGGATCTTCAGGGATTCTACATGGGATGTCTGTAAGACCTTGAGCCATCCATGACGGATCTTGGCAGCTGATGTGAAGCGGGTGGTTGTAGCCGGCCCAACAGGCTCTGTGCCGCAGAACTGCTGCCCTGATGCACATGATCAGCAGAGATTACTGATGAAAGTGACCAGAGGTAGAATAGGCCTGCTCTAGGTTCCAACTCTAGGAAGCTTCCTTCTAAACTTGAAATGAGGCTTCTGGCCAGACAGGATCTTTTTTGATTGGCTTAAAAACTTAAATTCTTAGAGAAGAATTCTTCCAAAAACTCTCTCTCACCTCTTTTTTAGAAACTTATTTAAGTGTATTGGTACAATTTAGGTATATACAATGATCACATTCATTATGAGGAATTTGTACCTGTACATGACATACTTTGATCTGTTTTATCCCTTCCCATTCCCCTTTCCTTCCTTCTACCCCTTTCCCTCTCCTTATTTACAAAGCTCTGTTTCCATTTTATCCCTCTATTCTCATTTTTTTCTTTTTCCTTCCTTCCTTTTCCCCTCCCCCCTCTTTTAAATGTTTGCACAAAAAAAATTTTGTTACTTCTGAGGTTCTAAGAAAAAATTAAAATATCAGCCAGCACTGGTAACACTTCTGAAAGGAACTATGATTTCTCCTTGAAGATGGTAGGATGCCTTCTAAGTTTACTGCCTCTTTTCCCAAGATTAAACTCCAGTGACGACAAGGAAATTTAAAATAATATGTAACCATAGGCTAAAAGAAATGGGACAAGGTATTAGTGGGTAGGATGGGTGAGAAGTATCAAAATTTCTGGAAGATATAAGTGGAGTAAGGAGTGGTTATGGTGAATGTGCTAGAGATAATCAGAGATTAAAATGCATTTAAATAGTGTAACAACAAAAGTGGATCCTACTGCAAGTTATGGATTTTGGTGATAATGATATGTCAGTGTAGCTTCCTTGACTGTAATAAGTGCACCACTGTTGGCAGCCTGTGCATATGGCAGGTCAGGGCATGTTTGAAACTCTCTATACCTTCCTCTCAACTCTGCTATGAACCCACAACTTCTCTAAAGTGAGGTCTGTTAAATTTCAAAGGATGACAAAGATGACTGATGAGCAGTTACCTCAGGCAAACAAGGGAGATTCAAGACATGGCAAAGGCCAGGTATGGTAATGCACACCTATAATCCCAGAACTCTTGGAGGCTGAGGCAGGAGGATTGTCAATTCAAACATAGGTTGGGTGATTTAGTGATTTAGGGAACTGTGTTTCAGAAAAAAACTGAAAAGAACTGGGAATGTAGCTCTGTTCCTAGCAACCCTGGTTTCACTACTCAGTGCCACAAAAATTAATCTTCCTGTGTTGGCATTCTTGCGTCAGCTGGAAAGCAGCCAATGTCCCTTCTGGTTTATCTGGAAGTGAAATGTGCTGATCCGGCTCCTCCATCCCCCACAGAGAAACAGTGACTTCATGATCACCTCACTCACAGCCAGAGACCCTCAGTTACTTACAGAAAACCTCCAGCATGGAAAACAGAGCTCAAAACTGACAAAGAGGAGACAAGAACCCAGTAGAGAAGACATGGAAAGGTGCAAGGAAAACATGAAAATAACTAATGAATGTCCTTGGAGAAGAGATATCAGAAGCCAGTGCATCAATAAAGGTCAAGACACCACGAAAAAGATGAAAGACCATGAAAAAGCTTTTCAAAGAAAAATATACATACAGTATTTCCCCAATGTGTCATAGAGAACAAAAAAGAATGATTAAGAAGAAGGTTAAAGCCAAGGAAATACTCCATGGAAATAAAACAACAAAAATAAACCAATAGCCAAACATGAATTGCAAAGTAGGAAATAAAATATAGCTAATGAAGAATTCATCATGGCAGTGTCACGTCTGATTGAATAAGATCCAGAAAAAACAAACAAACAATGACAGCCAAAAAATAAAAAAGAAAATAAAAACATACAGAGAGGAGAAAATGCTCAATGAAATAATGTATGCAAATAGAAAAATCATGTGTCCTTATTTAAAGAGAACTAAACATTCAGTACAAGAGACCCACATCAAAGAATGTAACCACATTATAAAATGTAATAGATAAAAACTGTCTGAAACTTTCACAGAAGAGGAACATCATACAAAGTAGAATAATTAAAATTGTACAGAACAGCATCACTGGCATCTCACAGAAAAAAGAATAATGCCTTCACAATTCTAAATATGTTTTCAATTTCTGCAGTATCTATTGTATATATCACATGCAAGAGTACGATAACATAATTCTCATCTACAGAAGGATCCACATTCCTCTGGAACCTTTGCCTACAAAGATATTGGAAGAGAAAAAACTTCAAAAGACATGGGAATCAGGAACTGTGGGCCCAATCTAGGGGAGGAGTAAATCAAAGTCGGTGAGAGAGGAAATTAGGACGTGGCAAAGCTGCTGGGGAGGTAGGCGTGCCTGTTAATTACAAAATCCTGGGACACATGGGCAGAACAGTTCCCAAAGCCCTACGCTTGGCCTTCTCTGGAGAAGAGCAGGTTTTTGATAAAACTGCTTAGATCTGATGTCAGCCTGAAAAGTAGGTGATACAAGAAAGATGGTCCACACTGAGATTTGCCATTGCATTTTCTCTTGCACGTGGCCACCCACGCCCTGTAGGGTGCACTTCTTTTCTTTACTTGGCCCAGAGTTGCTCTACAGAGCCAGTTTCTTTTCTTACTTTTAATAAAACTTTGCTACCATCTGCACTTGTCTTGACTAACTCTTTGCTCAGGACAGAAAGAACCTAGAGACGACCTCCAGAAGGAGCCTCCAGCACCCCAAAACCCAGTGACAATGGGAAGTGAGCCTCACAGTGCTAAGTGACCCAAACCATCTACACTGGACCAGCAGGATGGAAAGTAGCACGAACGGTGTTTCCAAGAGAGAAAAGAAAAAGAAAAAACAGAACACTGTCTATGAGAGGCATTTGGAGGGGAAAAAAAGATGAGGATGACAACAGAGCTGATCGCATAAGGAATTAAATACAAGGACATAACAAATAAATAAAATGACATAGCATGATCTGGCTATGAAGAAAACAATATAGTCATACAATGTGAACTTGATTATTGGTTCATTGATAAACAGTAATAAAGAGAGAACTGAACTGTGAGGAGGTTATGGAGGTTAAACATTCATTGAAAAAGAAATGATTATAGTTGGGATCCTAAATGTTCCCCCAATGGCCGTGTATTGAATGCTTGGTCCCCAGCCTGTGATGCTACGGGGAGCTGTTAAACCTTTAGGAACAGTGCAGTGAGAAGAGGGTTGAACACACTTACATGTTAAATACAATACTGAATTACTCTAAAGTATTACTAAAATTTTCCTAATATTTAATGTAGGTTAAGGTTTTAATTTTTAAAAATATTTTTAAGTATTTTTCAATGTTTTGAAATATCTTAACCAAACAAACCCACTTAAACTTTGAAAACTGGGAGATTTTTCTAATCCACCAAGTAACACATTCCGTTTTAATCAGCTCTCAGTGCTTAGCCCCGTGAGGATACTGTTGCAGGATGCAGCCTCACGCTGCCCTGCTCTGTCCTACCCAAGATGTGGATCATCCATCCCCTCCTCCAGTGTATCCACGTGGCATATACTACGCGCCTTATAGTCACTCAGAAGTCATCTCCATGATCAGATTGACTCTTGTGTACAGAAAGGCCTGTGTTCAAGAAACACAGGTTTTATTCACTAGTGACCCTAAAGATAAAGATTAGTAATGCAAAGGAGGTACCAGGAGATAAAGGGAGACACTGTACTCTGTGCGAAAGGCCTTTGAGAAAAACATAAAAATACAACACAGGTACAATGCTTGCTAAAACGTACAATAAGAAAGCCAAGCTTGTTTTTGACCCCAGATTTGTATGTTGTCTCTCCAGAAACAGACCACGTTACAGTACAGCAAGTATGAGTGCACTTTCCTTTAAATGGTCATGCGGCAGTAAGCACGCTGGTGTGCCTTGCTCTTTCCTTCACGTAGTCAAGTACCCTAGTGCTCTATCTTAAGAAGCAGATATAGACCTTTGCCTTTTCAGTTTCATGGTGTTCCACGGAAGGGTTGTACCATTATCCTCTAAGCAGGGTCCATACATGGACATTTTGGGCTTCTTAGAGTCTTTTGCTTTTGTAGATTAGGATGCTATAAAAATATCTCCGTATATCGGTCTAGACTTTGATAACAATGACTTTAAATACCTAGCAGAACTATAACATTATTACCCTCTCCTCTGGCACCTTGGACTCCTGGTAAAAAAATTTCATGTTGAAAGCACGGTTTTAATACGATCATTTCCACTGGAATGCAATACTGCCGAAAGGACGCTGGCGGCAAGGTTGTGCTTCCAGACACAAAATATGAGCACAGAATGAAAAGGAGAAATGCCGTTCAGTTTTCACTGCCTTTAAAAACAGTAACAACAGCCGCCTGCAGGGGGCGCTGCAGCTGGAGAGGCATGTCATAACCCGGGTCTTCTTAGTGCCTGCTCCCAGGTCTTTAACAGCGTCACGCATTCATAAAATCTTAGAATTGGTCTAATCGCTTCTGTCAAATAGCAAACAATATCTAAGACAAGTTTAATAGGTCAACAAGGACATACTGACCGCAAGCTGGATCGAAGGGAAAGCACCCTTTACAACTCAGCTCGCGCAGCAGGAACGCAAGCCCAAAGCACCAGCGTTGACAGAAATGCAGCTCAGACAGGCAGGCGCCCTGCACACACCTGTAGGAGCCGGCGCGCTCGCGGTCCAGAGGCTCCGTGCAGGTGATCGCCCCACTCCGCGCGTGGATCTGGAAGGCGTCTCCGTGGTTGCCCGAGACAAGGGAATACTCGACCAGGCCGTTCAGCCCGCTGTCCAGGTCGGTGGCCCTCACCTAGGCGGAACCAACTCCTCTGTTAGAAAAGATTTAATCTGCAGTATGGGCTAAGCCTACTGTCGGAGGAATGCGCTGTGAAAAAAACACAAATTGCTCAGCGCATTTTACAAACAGTCATTAAAAGGATACCAACCAGCAGCTGTAATGTACATTTAACTTTATAATAAAGTGAGTGGTAGGAGGGGGCATTTTCTGGATACTCATCCGAAGGATTTCCAAATAGCTTTCACAGGATGTTGAGCTATAATTTTATGCAATAGGAAAAAATTACTGGAAAAATACCTAACTTTCTTGAATGTAAAATTTCTAGTATTCTCTGTTGATTCATGCTTACATCAAGAAAAGGTGATAAATACAGGAAACCTTTATATAGCGAATATCTTTTCCTTTTGTCCTTTTTTCTGTTTATAGTGTCACCTTTAAAATAGGCTGGGTGCAAATTTTTACAGTGCATTAAAGTTTCAATTTAAAGGGATCTTTAAAAAATAAAACAAAGTCTACAGTCATTGCTAACAAATTTAGATCCTGGTTATTTTATTAGTCATCAAAGTATTGTTGGAGATGGAACAAAGGTTTTAGAACATTGTTCCCAGAGACATACTGCTCTGTCTGTGTTAAATTTTAACCACTGAGCTAACCATGTAAGTGGATTCAAGATCTCATTTAAGAGTAAGTTTTAGGTCTGTTAAATATTAATTTTTTTATATTCTCTGTGACCCTCAGCCTTAGCTCATGCCTTTTGCATCTCTCTCCTGGATGCTATGCTCATGACCTAATGGGTTTTGCTTCTCATTTTCACCCACTGAATCCACCCTTCACCCTGAGGCCAGAGTTCTCTGGGGGCCACGTGGAGCACGCCGGATCTCATCAGGACAGCACACAAGCCAGCTATTTGGTATAGAAAAGCAGCAACTCGGGGCTGGGGATTTAGCTCAGTGGCACAGCGCGTGCCTGGCAAGCTCAAGGTCATGAGTTCCATTCCTGGTACTGGAAAAAAACCAACAACAACAATAAAAGGAAAAGCAGCAACTCACATTGTCCTTTGGAATTGCCAGGAAGAGACACTAGTCCCCAAGTGGGGGCAGATAAGATCCATTGTGCCCCTTGGAGCTGTACGCTAAAGAGTGGTACGGAGTAGGCTTCCCACGGTGGCAAATCTGGGTAGTCTGGGGTGCCTGACAACACGTGTCCTTGGTGGTTAACTTCACAAGGGCAGAAATGTGCCCCAGTGAGAGTGCCTGGTGGGTACAAGAACCTAAGCAGCTGTTGGGACTCATGAACCAGAGTCCTAGACTCGTCAGTGTGACGAGCTCTACTTTGTCTGTGTCTTGATGTCTCTTCACTCAAGATTCTAACTCCTAAATAAACTGAAGAGCAAAATGAAAGACAGATGGTAGGAAAAAGAGAGGTAGATCTTTTGTAAAAAGGAAGGGGACTAAGAGATGGAGGGAGAGGGCAGGGGAGAGGAAAGGGATGAGGAGGAATTAGGATGAGCTATGAACCAGAACCAACTCCCCAGCAGGAATGCAGTCAGCATGTGCTGCAAACGTACTACTAAGGAAACCATTCCAGAGAGAGAACAGCTGTGTGTCTGAGACAGAGGCCATTCCCACCGCCACTGGCAGAGCAGGGCCAGGGCTGGGCCGGTGCTTCGACCATCCTACCAAGTCTGTTCCCTACAGAGGAGGCCAGATCCTCAAGGAAGTTGGTCTCACTGTAACCAAAGGGAGGGTGGGTGCATATTGCCGTGGCAAAATAGGAAGGAGCCTCTTCAGGTGGTATGGCCTCCAGGGCCTTCTGTTTCTGCCTTAACTGGACAAAGAGTGGCATTGCTAGCTGCCCAGACACTGAAAGACCTAAAAATGAAAAGAGCACAGTTCACAGTGCATGCCTCTGACCTGACCTTCCAGAAGGGTGCGACAGCTGGAGCCACATCCAGTCGGGCTGGGTCCCATTGGTGCACCCGGCTTGGAGGGAGTCTTCCCATGCATTTATTCTGGCCTGGGCACATTGATCCTACCCAAGTCAACACATGGGACAGAGAAGTGCAATGCTGCAGGCCATGGTGCAGGGATCTTCTGGTGACAAACTGGAACGGGGCCATCTGCCATCCTCAAGAAGGTGAGGCCATTCACTTTCCCAGTGATAAAGATTGGGCCAGTGAATGACTTTACCTTCTTAAACATCCCAGTCTTTGTGAAACAGTAGTAAAGAAATAACAGGCTGGTGACTGCAGCAATAACATAAAATAAATCATCTATAAGGTAAAATAAATCTGCAGTAGTAGCCAAGAGGATGTGCTGGGCTGTGTGGGTGGGGGGCACAGAGATGAACCTCCAAGACTTCTGAGTGTACTGATTCCCTCTGACAGGGAAGACTTATGTATCAGGAACTGGCCTTCATGTAAAAAGAAGGTGTCTTTGTATATATGTATATATTTCAGAAAAAGGGATCTGGGCAATAAAGAACTATTGATAGTCTTGTTTGGAAAGTGTAGTATCATGTCAGGTAATTTCCTGACATACCCTATGCCAGAGAGAAAGCCCATGATATAAATCTGTGCATGAACTGCTGATCACATCAGCACAACTCCACAGGCCAAAAGGACTATCCTATTCCATGGCTCACTTCGCCAGCAAGATGGTTTTATGCTGATCCTCTGCAGATTTGCAGGGAGTTGCAAATCTTCTGATGTCCAACTTCAAGACCGCAAAGACTAAGTTCAACGGTGAAGGAAAGAGGAAATATGACCAGTTTTGATGCAGATAAAGAAACTATCGAAGATGGGAGGGGATCACAGCTGGAATGAATCTGCCCACTAAACAGATTCTCAGATCTGTCTACACAGCTGCTTACTCTTTAAGACCTGGTGTGAAGATCATTCTTTTGTGGAGCCTTGGTTAAGGTTGGGTCTCTAGCCTCTTTTCTCTCTTGGCACTGAATGCAAGCTTAATATATATTAATTATATGGTGCTCCGTAAAACTAGATATGTTACATTTAACATAAAAGCATTTCCAAGTTCTCCACTAAACTGTACGCATTTATAAGTCCAGTTATTTTTTGTGTCTCTGCCATGTCCCCACGACAATTCTCAGAGTCCCTAGAGAAAGCAGTGGCCAGGTACGAACACTGAAGGAAGAGGAAGAGTGCATGCAGAAATTTCCGATTTCATTCAGTCAAGAGTTTTATCCAATCCATCAAACACTGTACACATCTGGAAGACATTTAAAATTTATGTGTTGGATATAAGCCTTGCATATTTTGATGTCATTGCTCTATAATGATCTACACACCCACACACCATGGACACACATTTCTGTTACCTGTATGACGGGGGCATTGGAGCCCTGGCCTTCAGACACTGATGCTTGGTAAACACTTTGATCAAAGCGTGGAACATTGTCATTCACATCCTGTATCGATACTGCTACTTTGCCGTAGGCTCTATGCTCACCACTTTCAGCTAAAATGATGAGTTGTACTTCATTCCTGACTTCAAAATCAAGGAATTCAGGTTCTTTCACAGTCAGTTGTCCTAATTTTATTACCATGGAAGAAAAAAAATGAAAATGATGTAGTTATTTTTAAAATGTCTCAAATCACTGCTATTTTATGTGCTCACCTGCCTGTCGAAAGCTCCCCTCTCCACTGACCTGTGTCCTTGTGAAAAGAGTTGGGAACTTAACATCTGTTTGCTGAGCTCAAACAGGTAGAGGAAAAGAATCTATGACGTGGCTGAGACTGGGGGACTCGCTCATAAACCACCCTTCTCCTCTATCTAGAGTCAGCCCATCACCACGTCTGCCAAGTGGATCTTTCCAGCATCGCTCTATCTCCACTGCAGCTGCTCCTTGCAGCTACTCTTTCCCTCTCACAGACTGCCTGCACCTCTGGGCACATGCCTCATGGCTTTGCTTACCTGTTCTATTCACAAGCTCCCCAAGGTGAGGACTGTTCCCTGCCTCAGTTCCCCAATAGCTAGTTTAGACTCTGGCCTAGAGAAGGATTCAATCCCACCCTCATACCCTCATATGAAAACATGCTGCCAGGTTAGAGAAGTGGACTTTTGGGAGTGATGCCATGTTCAAGATTCTTCTCCAAATTTAGAAATTCCTGTCATATAATTTCCTTCTTACATTTCTACTCTGTTTTCTCCTCCATTTTAGAACAAAATGTCAGAACCAATTTCTTCTTCTTCTGCTCCTTCTCCTCCTTCTCCCCCTCATTCCCCTCCTGCTTTTGCTCCTCCCCTTCCTTCTCCTTCTCCTTCTTCTTCCTCCTCCTCCCTCCTCCCCCTTCCTCTTTCTCTTTATTTACTTGGGTGTTCACTGTCAGAAATTCTCTGAAATAGAGATTTACCTGATACAAAGAACAAATCCTAGTGCTGGCTACTTAATTTTGATGAATCGCTTGGCAGTATCACCTACTAATTCTTGTGACCTGGAGCAAATCATTCAGGTCCTAGAAAGCTAGGGCTTCTCTTCTGTGACAGGGAGATTTAATAGTGACCTACAGGGCATCTCTGAGCAAGTGGTATAAGGTGCACATGTCATGTTTTTCATGTGTAGGTTTCAGGAAGTTTTACCCAGACTTGTCTGTCCTTACATCACAGGCTACGGTATAGGTTTAACAGCTCTGTAAATTGTGAATTTAGAAAGAAAATTTAATACACAGAGTTTGATATTCTGGTGAAAGAATCTTTTTCTTTTAAATAGGGCTGTTATTGCTCTGTGTGAACCAACTTCAACAGATAAACAAGCTAGTCCAAAAAAACTTCAAGCCATCGGGTAATTATCTGGATACTGGCAGAAATTATGCCCTGTTCTAATAGTTTATCTTTGACATTGAGTGTTTGAAAGAAGATTGCATAGCTTATGTTTTACTGATCAAAAAATACTAAATATTTTATTTTACATAAGAATTCAATATCCTACAAAATTTAAGTGTCATGAATTCACTATCATTTTTTGACCTCAGATTTAAGTATTAATTTTGCACAAGGACCAAATTTCCTGCACAAGCCACAGAGCATTGTGTCCAACATGGCTGAGAAAGGAGCTCTAACTTGGGGCAACTGCAAAACCATTGAAAATGTGTTCTATGGACTGCTGAAAGTAGCTGGTACTATTAGCTATCTGTGACATAAGCACTGATACCTGCATTCCCAAATGGCAGAGGAGCCATGAGTTTGAGGTGGGTCCACAGCTCTCTGCCAAACAAGACATCACGTTATCATGCTATTGTGTTACTGTTTGTACAGGAAAAATAAAATAGAAATGCAGCACTAAACTGCCAGTGTCATTCAGTAGAAAATGCGCCAATTATGGTGCAGATCAAAGTGGAATTTTTAATAAAAGGCCTGTGTTTATGCTTTGATAATTGGAATTTTGCACTTGGAATGGATCTACGGTGCTAATGTTTTCCTTGCTTGGTTTTTATTTTTGGTGTAATAGCTGGCACATGCTGTGAAAGTTATGCAATTCGAGAAGACAATAGGCAGTCTGAGACATGACTCAAGGCTGGAACACCTACTAAATCTACATTTTACCTTTGATGATACACATATATTTTTCCCAGAGACATCAAAGACATAATCATTAGTGAGATGAGAGTATTAATGAACTCTCACATGGTATGGGCATAAATCCACATTTTTTAGAGCAAGAAAGAAGCCTTGCAAGTATCACTCTCACATGTTATATGCCAGTTTTACAATTTGAGAACAAAACTGCAGTAATATTTTCCTTATAATATAGATACTTCAATAGCTTTTGTCCAAGTTATACAATACACATCAAAATGAGATTAAGATTCTTCAAATACTAAATGCTGGATAACATGATCAGGTCACTTCAGTTATACACTGTGGATATGCATCTGCATAAATCCAAAGCAGAATGTAACAAATTATGTTATCCAATGGTTTTTAAATGCTCTCCTGCTACAACAACATCTTTGAAATGTTGAAAGTTTGATCATTTTTGTTTTATGTCAATCTACCCAATAATGGACTGAGTATTACCATCTGTTATTTACATACACAGTCTTAGTCAAACACTAAATTCTTGCTAGTTTAGATGGTAATAGATGTTTCTAATCCAAAGTGGCATGAAGTTTACAAAAGTAAACTTTTCAAAAGTCAACCTTAGGTTTGTAACTCAGGAATAAGGCTCCTTAACGTGAGCACAATTTTAGAGACCAATTTTATTAGTTTATCACGCACAAATTTTCTCTTTTAGTAGGTTTGTTGTTTAAAATACACACATCCATATAACTTATGTTAGGTATCTTTGAAACAAGTTTAGTGGTAATGTATTAAAGATAGTGTGAAGCATGTATTTAATATAAAATTTCACAAAAGTTTTCTTGACAGTTGTATGGTAAAGAATACACTTGGATGACTGTCATGATGAAAACAAAATACTTGATACATTGTATGCATATATGTGAATGCTCTATATGTGTATATGTGTGCACTGAAGTGCATTATTGAGTTACAGAAGTAAGGGTTCCCCAGAGGGGAGAATAAGATTGAAAACAGGAATCCTGGGAGGTGAGTAGGTACTAAAACATCCATATGTGTCCTGGTGGGTTCTATTGTAACCTCCTACCTTGAGATGCACCTTTGAGAGTTGTACAGAGTATGGAAAACAAGGGGAAAAATCCCTACAAGTAGTTATGGGGACAACAGGAAAAATTGGTGCATAGTTGGAAACCCAAAGGCTAAATAAATGATCAATAAGTGATTTAAATAAGTGATCAATATTTCTAAAAACACTAAAAATTTATACACAGAAAACCAAATTTTTTAAATGTTGGTGTTAAGTGAAAGGATGAGAAAAGCCCCTGAATTTATGGTGCCATACTATCTTAGTTATATATCTTTTCTAAAAAATGAAGAATTAAACTAGTTTCTGCTTGATGATGTCTCCAGGCGAATTTGAGGAGAAAGCAAATTCTTCTTAAAGGGGACAAATTCAATCCTGGTTTAAAAGGATACCCAAAGGAAAAGTTTAAAAGATGGTGAGAAGTTCACGATGTATAAGCACAAAAATCACAGAGAAACACATTGTCATGAATGTTAGCAGGCAAATACACAGGCAGCAAAATCAATCTTCTAAGACTTTTGAATTCTACACATGTGTTTTGCAGAGCAAATCGAGGCAAACACTAGATCACTGTGCTATCCCTGGGCAAGACCCCCAGCTCAATGTTTCAAATATATAAAAACAGTCTTGGAAACATGAGCGAGGGACAAAAGATTTTTTTTTGTAAGAAAAAGACAAGTTGAAAAAGAACCAAAGATAACTTTTGAAAATGAAAAAATATAGTTCATTAGACTGAAAAGAGACAAAGAAATGAAAAAGTGATGTAGGAGAGAGTCTTTTGGCCCAGTATTCATCTAACTGGAGTTTCAACAAAAGAAATAAATGAATGCCATTTCTTAATGAAATAATGGGAGTTCAGGAGATAGTGATACAAGATATTATGAGAGAAATTAACTGTGAGACTAGAATTACAAGATCAGCAAAAATATATACCAGATGAGGATTAAATGAAGATGTTTTAGCCCAGGGGACAACAAGATAGAGGAAAATGGAAACCACACACCTGAAATTTATGAAATGATAGCAGCAGAAGTAAAGAAACAGATCCATGATACTATAGAGGAAATCATATGAGAATAATATCACAGGTTAAAAAAAACAAAACAAAAAAACCAAGATAACAACTATAATGAAGAACTTCCTCAGCAAATCCAGTGTAGTCATAGAGACATAGATTTAAAAAAAATTAGAGGAGCATAGAAAAATGATGGAAACCATGAATGCCCAACATAGGAAAGAAATCAAATGCATGAAACAGATTTAAACAGATGTCCAAGAAAAAAAATTCAGTTGAAAGTTTGCAAAACCACATGAGTGAAAGTAAAGATAGAATATTAGACCCAGAAGACAGGATCATGGCTAGCAATCATGAAAGGAAAAACCTCTTAAAAATAACTAGGGACCAGGAAAAAAAAACAATTCAAAGGCAAAAAGGTGATGCAAAGAAGAATAACATAAGATTAACTCAAGTCAATGAAAAAACAGGAGTCAGCAGAAATGACATAAAAAGAGTGTTCACAGAAGTAATAGCAGAAACCTTCCCAAGCATGGAAAAAGAATTTGACATACAGATAAGTGAGGCATATAGAAGTCTAATCAGCCATGACCAAAATAAATCTACACCAAGACGTGTAATAATCAAGATCCCAGAAATTAAGCACAAGAACAGAATATTAAAAGTTGTTAGAGAAAAGAAACAGATCACCTATAAAGGAAAGCCCATCAGAATCACAGCAGACTTCTCAATACAAACCCTCAAGTCAAGAAGAGTTTGAAGTATTTCAAGTCTTGAAAGAAAACAACTTTCAATCCAGATTGTTGTACCCTGCAAAACTATTTTCAAAATTAATGGAGAAATAATATACTTCCATAACAAAGAACAACTAAAGAAATTCATGAATACCAAAATCCAAAATCCCTAGAGATATTTCACATAAAAGGAAGATGATACCAGCAGAAAATCTGAGATGTAAGAGAAATCAGTTTAAGTTAAAAGCTAATAAGTCTTTAACAAACAACTTGTGCCTAATTTGAAAGAAATAAAACTATATTAAAACTGTAAAATGAATATTTAGAGATAAAATCCCTTGTGTTATTCAGGGAAGGGATATTATTTCATTTTGGATTTTAATTATATATGTAAAAATAACTAGATTAACTACTAAAATAAAAACTCTATACCATTTCTATGTCAAGTAGAGGAGAAAATTGTCATTTTCAGATAATGATTGTTTATGTTGAATGTACTGAAAAATGTCAGAATCAGTAAGAGTGCAACCTTTCTCAGTACAGAAATCAAAAGACAAAAGTCACTTTGAAGCATCATAACCATGCAGTCAAAAAAAGGTATTTTTCACCTACTTTACCAAAAGAAAGTGTAAAGTAGTTAGGCTAAATCCAACAAGACACATACACACAGGTGCTACCATTCTTTGTAACTGCTCTTTAAAGTGGGATGGTTTGTTCACCACAAGTCAGTAAAATGTTGAACCAGACAATCGAGGTTCAGAAGGGTACACAAGATGATTCTGTGATGACTGCTGCCACAGCACACAGTGGCTCCTGAAGTTCTAGCAAAGTCTTATTTCTGAAGATGACTGACAAAAGAAAACGTGATTTAGGGATTCAAACCCTGTGGAAAAATTATAACAAGAGCAACAAAGTTAAGATCAATACCAAACTCAAGTTTCTGATTACCTCTGAGGAAAAAGAAGACAGATGTGCAGTAAAGCATGTTAATTAGCTTGATGTGGCTATTCCACAAGTTCTAGTATCGTCTTACTTCTCAAGATAAGTGTCAAGTGCATGAGCTTTTATATTTCTGTCGTCCACTGTTTTTTAGCTCATCATCTTGTAGATATTATTAAAAATTTTTAAAAATAAATTTCACTATAGTTAATTTAAAAATAGATTTTTGTGTGTGCTCTCTTTGGTCTGACTCTAGGTAGATTTTATCTGTATTTTCATAAGGAAATTTCAAGGAGACAGGCCATACCAGGGACATGTTAGGGGTGACATGACTGAAGGATTTGGGTAGACTGAGAAAATAATGAAAATTCTACTGTTCGCTTTTTTCCTAAACACTTTAATCCCACTTCCTTTTCCAACAGACTTAGACACCTGGATAGTGAGAAACAAAGAATTTTGCTCGCCAGTCTTTTGCCAAGAGGCTTCCTGTGTTGCTCTGTAACTCAGCCCTGGGATGAGGGATGAAGAACATCATCCCGAGCCTCAGAAAGGTTCCTGACCAAAGTCTGTATGGGCCAAAAAGTCAGAGCACCATGCCAATGAAGAGGCACTGACTTGAGAAACTGTCCCTCACAGTTCTTCCCATGTGCAGGTGTACAGAATAAATATGACAGCTATAAGTCAATACAGAAATTTCTACAAACTTCTTGGGGTTTGACAATGAAGCAATAGACATATGTCTACTACATAGTTGTTAGAAAAGCATGTTTCAAATAATCAATTGGTATTCATTTAAAACAGAATAATGGTCTTATTAAACTTAAATTTAATAATGCTGTATTTGGAAGTAATTCCTTTACCACCACATAAGAACTTTTCCAGCTGTCCCTTTTTTTACACTGTTGACATTCAGTGGTGAGTTAGAAGATCCTCCAATTAAAATTTCCTCAGGCTAGGCATGTGTGCTTATTTCCAATTTAAACTCACTACCATGATCTCCCTACTAGACCTCCAAAATTTCTCCATATAGGTTGGTAAACTGTAAGTAAAAGCTAATTCACCTTCAAAAATTCAAAGGGCTGGATAGACACTGTCTAATTTGGAAATAACTAGAATAGAACTCTTAGTGAATATACATAAACCGATATATGGGTGGTTCTGGATTTTCCACAATTTCTCATCGGCTATCATAAAAAAAAAATTCACATTTACCTTATAAATTATTTACCTTTAACAATTTCTACCCTTCAAATTTTGGAGAAGTATTTGTTACTAGTAACCCTCAATGGAGCAGAAGTAAAGCTACTGTCAGGTAGAGAAGGATTACCTGAACTGGAGTCCAAGGAAAATACTCCATCTCTGTTTCCACTGAACACTGAATATTTAATAATGCCCCCAGTTGCATCAGGAGCAAAAGCTTTTACCGTCACAACAGAAGTACCTGTGAGAATTAGATAAAAATAATCCTTATTTTTATTCTTTTTCAGATTGCTCAAAACTTGTAATAAATTGAAAAAATGTAAAAACAGCCATGGAAACATACACATTATACATAGAGAAATAAAAATGAAGATTACAGCACATTTCTCATCAGAAACTACACAAGCTAGATAATGGGGTAGCCTTTCTGAAATACAGAGAAAAGCAATGCCAACCTTGAATTTTTACCTAGTGAAAACATATTTAAAAAGGAGGGAAAATAAAAACATTTTCAGATACATAAGAGTAAAAAAATCTCCACCAGCAGACCAGCACTTTAGGAATATTAAAGGCAGTCCTAAACAAAAATGAAAATGGTATTACATATATCAGCATTAAGCAAGGAAAAGCAGCAGAAAAGGTAATACCATGAATAATAGAAAAATTTTTTCTTATTACAGTTATGTACCATCTAATGATGTTTTGGTCAAGAATAATTCCTGAGAAATGCGTCATTAGTCAATGTTGTTATTATGCCGACATAATAGAGTGTGCTTATGCAATCTAAGAAGACCATGACATCAATAGGCAATAATCGATTCTCATTTAGAGTTATTATGAATACTAAGCACACATTTTTGCAAGGATTCACATTTTCATTTGTTAGGAGTAAATGCCTAGGGTGAATATGTGTTTAACTTTGTAAAAAAACCAGCCAAACTATTTTCCAAAATGGTTGTTCTATTTTACATTCCTTCTGGAAACATTTGAGAATTCCAGTTGCTTCATGTCCACTGGTATTTAATTTTACCCATCTTAGTGGATATGTGATATATCTTGTTTTACTTCTGATTTTCCTGATGTGATATTGAACATTTTTTCACGTGCTTAGTGGCCATGTCCACCCTTCTTTTTAATTCGTCTTTGTTCCCTGGCTCCGTGTTTTCTTTTCACCCATCACTCCTGAGCAACTTCCCTATGAAGTCCTCACTGGCCCTTTGTCTTCTGACTGTAGGTGTGTGACTTGAGGCAACCACTCTATACTCTGATCTTATAAGACAACACCTCTCCTCTTACTGTCTTCTGCTCCCCGAGGATGTCACCTGCAGAGACAGGTATAGAGAACCTTTGCTGGTCCTTGTCGTGGCCCAGAAACTTTATATTTGTAATCCTATGGAAAGTTACTGGAATTCTAGTGAATTAACTCCAATCTATCACTCCCAGTGCAAACCATGGCAAGGATAAAGACATTAATGCGTATTTGTAGTTATGGGGAGCCCAGGGATCCTAAATCCAGCTACGATGATGGCTGATCTGAACAAAGGCAGTGATCCAGGACTGAACCAGATTTTATTCATGAAGAAGGGAGTGGCTTGAGGATGCGCATCTGTGAGAATGGTGGGAAGTAGGTGAGTGCTGTGAGCTGGGCTAGGTAGGAGGCCTGAAATCACCTCTGCAATATGCAGAGAGAAGCATATGAGAAAGAGTAATCTGAATAACACAATTAAGGTGGTAAGTAATGTTTTGGGGTTGGTGCTTCAGTCCTAATGTGTAATCTTTTATGCTCTGGAAGTCATAGCTTCTTATCTTGAGGCTCGATCCCAGCTGACAGTGCGGAGCACCGCTCTCCATCCCGCCTCAGCTCACACATGTTTTATTTCGGAGCTATGGGGGGTGGGGAAACACTGCCCTGTCATCTTTGCTTCAAAGACTACACATCAGCACCTAGGCTGGACTGATCTGCATTGCTTAAAGCCAGGTGAAGGGGTAAGGAAAAGTCCTAGCCAGTGCTTTCCATATCAGTACATGGAACTAGGGCCAGGTTTAGCTAAAATGGAGATAACTGCTCTTCTTTCAGGAAGAGTCATGCAGATGGTCCTCCACAGGAAGGTATGCAGTTCGTACTGACCGGGAGGAGACAGGCAGAGGAAGCTCTCCAGGAGTCTCCTCAACTGCTGACGGCACAACAATGCTGGCCTTAAGATGATGGTAAGAAGGCAAAGAGTTAAAATGAAAGGAAACATCTTAAAAGGGAAGAGAAGTTGCTATGATGTCGGAGATGAGTTCATGGAAGATCTCACTAACTCTAATGCCTTTGGGTGAAAAGGCAAAGCATGTGGAAAAACGAAGAGGTCAGATGGTGGCGGAGACAGAGAATGCTGGAGGTGCCTCAGGTGCCCAAGGCACTTCATCACTGTCTGGAGGGGCAGCCGGCTTCAGGATACTTAAGACGTGAGCCTTTGCAGGAGAAGCTTGAAAATTCATGTTTACTTTCATGGGAAATCTCCCAATTCCTAAATGCTGGAAAATAATTAATTTAGACAACAAATGCCATCAGATGGGTTGTGCACAATGCAGCGATATCCTGACTCTAGTTCTGGTTTGCTGTCTCACAGGAGCCTGCTGGTTTGCTGTCTCACAGGAAAAATAAAGGTCTCCTTTATTGGTTATCAGCCTTTTAGCACTTATGTGTGCTACTTATTTGTCACCCTCAGACTTGTACTGAAGGTGATTCTCATCTCCTTGATTAAGCTGGACTAAATTCCACAACAGCAGAGGTAATTTCCCGCATACAGTAGTACCTCGGTTCACAGACGCTTTCATTTGCAAGCAGGTTGGTTCACAAACAGAAGCGTTTGGCAAAACTTTGTTCTAGTTTGCCAACTTTGCACTGGGTGACAAACATGACTGTGGCACTATCTTTCCTGCACAGACACAAATGTGACCATTTTTAACAAAATCATAGAACAAATTAAGTCTGTGAACAAAGGTACCGCTGTATTTGTAATCTACATACTTCCATAACTGCACACATTAATTTTGTCTTTAAAACTTTGCATGCTTGCTAATGAGATGGATATACTAATCGTCCTGATTTGATCAATACATATTTTATACATGTATTAAAATATCATGTTATATCCCATAGATATGTACAGTTGTTAACTTAATCAGAAATTTTAACAGTTTAAGAAGACAGAAATGTTAACTACTCTAATTTGATCATTACATACTGTATACATCTACCAAATTATCACGCTGTATCCCATACATTTGTACAATTAAAGTTTTTCATCTACTTAAAATCTGGAATAGTTGCCATATTTTGCTCAGCTTAATTTTTAAAAGCAAAGCGTGGTGCTGTGTATTGAAAGTTTATTCCACTGTAAACAGCATTTGCTCAATGGTTATGAGACAAAGGGAAGCAGAAAAAAAAGAAGACAGAGAGCAACAAAAGACACGGAGACGTTTTAGACTCAGAAAAGAGAAAAATGCTGGTCTCTGCCTACAGGACTGCTCTCATCTAACAGTTACAGAAGACAACAACTCCATGCTGCAGTATTACATCAGATAGTGGGATCTGCAGTTGTAAAATCTAGCACTGATTCAAGATCTCTCCATTGTTAAGCCTCTCCATGAATCACTGCATGGGGCCAGGCATCCATGCTTGAAACTCACCCTGCTACATATGGCAGTGAAAATGATATTTAAGCCAATGTAAATTGATAGGTTATTTTTTCTAGATATTTAAGAAAATTTCATTGAAAAGAACAGAAAAAAAGGAGAAGCTCTAGAGTAGACAGAATTTTCCCCTCGTATCTTTTTAATGCTTAATAATCAAAGAGAAATGCAGTGATTACTATAGGTATTAAAGAAAAAGGTATATGATACTGCACACAAAACTGGAACTTCAGTGAGAACTCAGTGTCAAAAAAAGCATAAAATAGAACTTGTGATGGAGAAAGAACAGGAAGATTCGAGCTGACTATATCACTCTCCTTAGAAACATCACGTTTAACGTAAAGTGTGAAAAAAGTTTAAAAATCATTTATCAAGATTTCCAAGAGGTTGCTCTTTTTAAGCCAGTTATGAAGTCACTAAGCAACAAAGTAATGGATTTCAATCAATCATAGTGGAATCAAGTTACTACATATGTTGAGAACTCTTTCAAATTGCATTATACTCTGATCCTTATTCTATTGCATTTCAGAGGCATGTTGTTAATATAAAATGGTAGGAGCATGCCTTTACAGTAGTGTAATGTTTTATCTTCAGTGTTCAATCACAGTTCTGGGCTTCCTGATACAATTTATTTTTAAACACAGGAAATTTTATTTCAACTGGCCTGTCATATTTTCTTAAATATCTCAGTAAGAAAAGAAACAGCTATTCAGGCAGGATGTATGATCTTGTTGATGGTCTTTTTTTTTTTTTTGGCATGGGTTAAGATGCTTGTTATATAGTCAATTACAAAAGAAAACATGGAGATCACTTGTGTGTGACAGAACAAAGATGAGTATACAACTGTGAAGGAAAATTACATGTGGCCCCTCTCAAAGGAAACAATCCTATTTTACTGCAAATAAAAAGTTCATACTATCAAGTGAAATTATACAGCAACAGAATTTCATTTAGGGAAACTGCTTCAAACTTGGTGCTAAAGTTAGCAAAAAGCTGAAAATGTGTATGTATTTTCTTTCTCTGACAAAGTTTGAATCTGAGAATTTCCTGGAGAAAAATAAGAAATAACTAAATGGCTCGATCCTTCTAGCTTCTTGCTTACTGTATACGCTGTTATAAATCTCTGTCTCTGGGCATGTAAATAAAACTTACAATTACTACTCATTTCACATAAGGTAGAAATGGTAAGCTCGGAAAACGACTACCACTGTACCTTCAATAACCATGATGTAAGTGAACTATATAAAACAATTTATCTTTTACATTTTTTGGTTTTTGTGTTTCACTTTAGGCTTACAATTGCATATACGAAAGTATAGCATATTTAAGGTTCTTGTTTTTCTCTTTACAAAAATACCATTAAAGGGGCTGGGGATATAGCTCATCGGAGTAAGTGCCTGCCTGGAAAGCGTAAGGTCATGAGTTCAAAACCCAGTACCACAAAAACAAACAAACAAACAAACAAACAAACAAAATTAAGACATTAAAAATTAATGGCACCCATAGCAGAAGTGAATTTTCAGTTTGGAAGCACAACTTACAACAATTAATCTTCATTAT